GGTAATGCACTTATAAGTCTGTGATCCGCCGTAAAGCAAGAAGAAGAAGAAGACGCATCACGCGCCAGCTGTCGAGAATGCGCTCAGGACAGTTCAGACATTGCAGTGCATCAGAGGTAAAAAACGATATAATTACTGTTCAGTTTCTTGCACAGACCGATCGTTTCGTGTCTTAGGACATCAATGTGTCGTCACGAGCCGCAGGGTTTAATTTGGATTTGTCTGTGCATGTTTTTTTTACACTCATAGATTTTGTTACCATTGCCATGCATTATAAGACTGATAGACTGCAACGGTTGGACTTAAAATTCATCATATGTGATCTACTGAAGAAACGAAGTCACCTACATCTTGGATGCCCTGGGGGTAAGCAGATAAACATAAAATTTTCATTTTTGGATGAACTATCCCTTTAAGCAAATGTGTGCAAGGAGAAGCAGGAGTCGACGTGTGAAGAGAAAGTCATCCACAGAGACCCTCAGTCTTGCTCCAGCCAAATTTGGGTCAAGGTTGTCTGTAAAATTAGGCCTCTTCTGTCTTTGCCTTTAATTTTCTGCCTGAACACTGGGGACACACAGCAGACAGACGGCATAATAATAAAGCCCACATACAAATTCAAATTTCTTCTGGCTGGTTGCTACTGCAAGTGGGTCAATACTCACACTGACGTCTGTCCAAACATACAGTGTTTTTCATTTAGATTTACAAGCTGTTTGCCACTTTTTTTTTTAATAAGTGGGTTTCATAACTGCTGCATCATTTTACGGTCTTCGATTAGGTCTCTAGATCTGCTCAATTAAACGGATTCAGAAGAGAATATGAATTCATAGCACAGAAACTGAAGATGGCTGTGATTCATGCTCTCATCAGACACTGAATATGATTATGATCTCCTCTCCGGAGCTTTCAACACGCAAGAACTCAAGGCTAAATCAAGGATGATGGCACCGCCGAGGACCCCTCAGAACAAACAACAGCTCGTCACTGAGTGTTTAAAAGCCCCATGCAGCTACCCGATGTTTCACCTCTTTATGGCTGAGGTTTTGCAATTATCTTGGATTGGTTATCATTAGTGACTATGCTAGCATGTCAGTTATAACCATTTCCATACTGGCAACTGAAAACTCACAAACTACAACTGCACAAACTGTTTAAAAAAATAAATAAATAAAAAAGCTCATGTAAATGTTTGGGATCCAGAATGTTATGAAACTTTGTATTTTTGCATTTGTGAATTTCTATGCGTTTTATTTGTTTGTTTTAGCAAATTTAGGGATATTGCATTAAAAATCAGTATGGAAACTGTAAACAAGATTTACAACATTTAATTTTTTTGATAATTAAATGGAAACAATAAACTCTTATATGTATTTCTATTATTTAAGATAAAAATATAAATGACAATTTAATAATTTATAAATATAATTACTAACATAAACAGTGTATGTAAACCTATAAAAATTGTAAAATTGTAAAAAAGAAAATTCATAAAATGTGACGATAATTACATTTAATTACATTAAAATAGAAAGAATTAACTACATTTAAAATGGAAAATTTATAGAAATAAAATGTGTAGTATATAAAAATATTTAATATATAACTTACATGTATTTCTATTACATAAAATACAAATATAAATGACAATTTGTTCATTTATAAATATAATTACTAACAGAGTATAAAACTGCAAAAATATGCATAAAACATGGTTATAATTAAATTGAAACTTTTATATATA